CAAACGACTGGAACCTATCAAAAGGGTTACAAATGAATGGGAATGACGTGGGGAATAAAGCGACTCCAAGATGTGCTAGTTTTCTGTGCAAGCTTGAATGGTCGGTGGCTAGTTGCAAGCTAAACAGATGTCCATTCAGGCGAGGACAATTTGAGTCACTTTGATGGCATATGTTTGAGCAACAGTGGCTGAAGCAATGTGTGTTCGAAGGACCGGCTTAGGGTCACAGAGGATTTGTTCTGTTGGGATGCGACAGGCTATTTTAAGGTTTCTTAGATTTGGTTTATGTGGCGGCGGTCCATGGCCTGAGCGATCTTTTTGACCGCGGTCTTGTCAAGGGCTTATCCACGTGGACTTCTCCAACTCCGGGTGTGTGTTGAGATAGGGGATTCCCCCAAATCGGGGTTTTCCCTCTCTCCCTCTCTCCGCAAACGACATGCTCGAAGGGCCTCTTCCAGGTCGACAAGCACTGATCGCCCCATTCGCCCCCCATGTGGTGTCAGGCCGTTTCTGCGCTTTGTGCCTTATCCACCACGCAACTGGCTGATGAGGCTGCACCCCTACATGACGGGGCCGCCGGCGATGGCACCTCCCCAGGCTGGTGAGAATGTGGGCAACTTCCCACCTCTGAACTTTTTTGGACGCACATCTTAGAAAAGGGATAGGCACAGTCTACTTCCATGTCTTTGTGAAAAGCCACGATGGGCTGGAAAGCTGCACCCTAGTCGATCAGAGAGCCACATGTCGGCGGCGAATCATTTTGCAGTGATGCTGTAGTTTCTTGGTGGGGGGTTAGCGGGCAATTTGAGATTGTGTCAAAAGTAAGTAGTGGTCCCTTCAAAGGGATAGCTTCAAACAAGCGTTACTTTGAAACCATCAAAAGGGAGCAGGCTTCATCCCAGTCCGTTTCCAATTGTCATTTTGTCCCTTAGCATCTTGCAACTTGTCCTGTGTGTTTCCCTGGGCATATTTTTGTTATGAGCTGCGTGGCGCGGTTGGCACGTTTGCTATCGATTCCACTTCAACCTGTTGCCCTTGACCCTCCGGCCCTCCAATCCCTTGAACCTTGTCAAGCGGAGACACGCATCCCTCGTTGGCCTTTGGGCGACCGGACAAAAGGGCGAAACGTTTCAAGCAGCGAAGGTCTAAAGCCTTGATGCTTCCAAGCCCGCAACTTTGCAGCGGCGGCGACATCAGAAAGGTGTTGCGGGCACGACTGGTCTGACCCTTTGCATCCAGACGTGAGCCGTTCAAATGGGTGAAGCATCACCGGCCTTGAACTCCGAGTGCTCCAAAGGGTAGGCTGGACCCGAAGGGGGCCGATGACTGATTTGGTAAGGAGAAGCTGTTTTTGTTTAATCCATCAGGTCTGCATGGCATTTGGCTGGGTGTTGCAAACAAATCCGTAGAATGAGGGTGCACTGCCTCCCATTCCCAGAACATCCCCACATATTTAGCACCCTGCCAGGGGCAGAAGTGGCCGGGCATGGAGCCCGCGGACGTGACTTCCGGGGAGCGGAAAGTGGGGAGGGGCCTTCGCATGGATTCTGAGTTAAGAGCAACATCTGGTGCTTGCACTGCTCGAGGTTTTCTGATTTGCTGCGTGTGTGTTTATGTTGTTGGCATTTTTGGAATGTCAAGCTGCATCCCTGGCCAAGTTCAATACAGCCAAGAACGAGGCTGGCCATTGAAGCATGGACTGCAATGGCCGCTTGCTGCATTTCTTTGTGCTGCTGCGTTGCGCAAGGTTTTTGAAAGGCCTGTGAAGAATTTAGACCTTCCAACAGGCCTTGAAACTGGTGTCCCCATTGCCCAAGTTCCCGCCCACCAACATGGAGAAGACAAAATCAGGTCCTTTGGATGAACACGGTGTTGCACTGAGGAGTTCTATGTTGGAGGGAGTTATCCTGTTTTGCCTCGCCCTCTCCTTACGCGGCGAGGACTTCGTCGCAGTGGTTCAGAAGCAGGTGCCAGGCAGTCAGGGGGCTGCTCAGACACACGGGCGGGGCGGGATAGTTGTTCCGGCATTGAGGATGTTTTGTCTCTTCTCGCGAAAGAGTGCCGGACCTCTGATGTCGTGCCAGCAGATTATGCCTTAATAAAGAACATCAAGTTTTCGCAGCTCAGCTGGACCTGGAAGCCGACCTTCTTGTTGATTTTTTTTCTTATTGGGTCTGCTCATCATTCTTGGACCGGTCTGAAGCCTCCTGCGGCCCGATGTCACATGTCACTTGGCAGGCTGGGCTGCGGAGGTCTCCACGCTGTGGGCAGACTTCTCCAACAAGCCGCACATCGCGGCGCTGCCGCGTTTGGCGCCACTGGTCGACAGTTTCGGGAATGGGGTGGCCAGTTTGTTTTGGTCAAAAAGCGGGAGCCAGCTGATCACATAGCAACATTGTTTTACGGGCATCATGTGTCCATCCATCGAGTTGACCAAGAGTAGCTCATGTTGGCTTGCTTACCGTTCCCAACACTGGTCTGAGGTTTTGGCCCAAGAAGGGGTTTGAGAAGGCAGAGCTTCTCTTCAGCAGTGCCCTGTGGATCCCCATTGCCGCTGTAGGTCACCAGGATTTTCCGATGTTCATCTTGACATGAGTGGTTCCATGGCTGCCAGCCTTGAATTGGCAATACTTGATTCATCCTTCCCCCCTGGTTCGGCTAGAGGCTTGTCCCTGGCTCAATTCAGCGACTGGCCCGTGGAGGGTCAGACAGATGCTTTCGCGCAGGGGGAACGCACAAGTTGTGCAAGCGGATGACTTGGCCTCCGGCTGCAATTTGATCCCAAGGGATTCCACATTGCTCCATGCCGCGCTTGCCAGAACTATCCTGCTGGTCACCACCCGATACCTCGGCCTTCGGTTATGCACACGGTGGTGCCGAGCTTGGGGGACATGAGACAGCTGATTGGAATGTGAGCCACAATCAAACCCTGTGAAGGTCAGGGGATTGACCCAAGCATACATAGGTGCAGCCACACTTTCATTTCTTACCTTGTGTTGGGTGGACGATTTCAAGAGAGTTTTTGTTGTGGCTCATTTAGGTCAGCTAAACCTAAGATGAGCTATGTGAGGGGCTTCATGTGAGGGGCTTCATGGCTTCCTTGGCCGAGTCACGTGCCATGGGCGCATGCCATCCAGCCCTTGGGCTCGCTCGGGTTTTGCAGTTGGCCGGTTTTCACCGGCAGGTGTCGGGTATACACATCTTCGTGTGTCTCAAAAATGAGGAACCCTTCCTGCTGGTATGGCTTAAGCCATCCCGGAAAGGGGTTCCCTATTTTGAGACACACCCCAGAATGCTGCTATAATACACACGGGCAGGTTCAATTGTGGTAACCCTGTACCGCGAAGCAAACTGCAATTCTAACTCCGCGTGAACACCAAAGGGGAGGCGAGAAACAACGATGGTCCTTGCTTTTGGTAGTAAGTTGCTCCAATCATTGAGTATCACATGTATGTTTGAGACCCTGCTAGAATATTTCGTTCTTGAGGGACCGATCATACCAGTCGTAGCTGAGTGCGATCCTGGCAGCAAGCGGAACACATGTTGATACAATCGCGAACCTGCCTCGAAATGGGCCAGACTCTCTCCTTCCCGAGAAGCAGGGCTCTGTTTGCACCTTCAAGAAGCCTGAGATGAGCGGTGTGGGATCTGTTCGAAGGTGCATGCCGAATATCCCCTCGTCTTTTTCTACGGAATCCATCTATGGCGAGACATGAGTATTGTATCATTTCTATCGAATATTACGCACAAACCCGTAAACAGCCTGATTGTAAGTCGCCCTGCCAGGGTGGGTTGCTTTTGAATCGACGGTACTGCTGAGATGGGCGGCATCCTCGGGGTGAAGCCGGCGGGTGATCCCAACATTGCCAAAACGCAGCCTTCCGCAACTGCAATTGCACAAGGCAGGGGGAGTGGCAGGTGATGGGTATGCTCTGGCTATGTTATTTTCTTTTTTGCTTGGGTCTTTGTCTGTTCCTGTTTGTGCCCGTTTCTGTTTGATCGTGGCTGTCTGTGTCTTTGTCTGCCTATCTGGATTCTTGTTTGGTTTTGTTTGTTTGTTTGTTTGCTTGCTCGCTCGCTTGCTTGTTGGTTTGTTTGTTCGTTTGTTCGTTTGTTGGTTGGTTGGTTGGTTGGTTGGTTGGTTGGTTTTGTTTTGTGGTTTGTATGTTTGATCACTTTCCCTTTCGCTGGTCGTTTGGTTCTCTTTGTTGTTTGAGGCCACAGGTCAAAGCGTACGCATGGCATACATCACAAAAAACAGAGGGGCCGAGTTTTTGCATTTGATCGCTATCAGCGAAGCCATCAAGACTTGGGGCAAAGCAATTGTTGGGCCATGCCCGGGTTCATGGTAGAGCGATATCCTGAAACTCGGTCGGCGCGGGATCATTGGGACTTTCTTCCTTTGGGCACAGCCGACAGCTGTGGGCAAACTCCGGGCCTCACCTTCCAGAGAAGATGTCAGCCAGTAGGGCATCTCTGGCGAGCGCTCCCATGGAATGCAAGGGCGCAAAAGCGCCAAGCGCAGGATAAAGCAAAACAAGAGCCATCCTGTTCCATCGTCAGTCAGTTGCAACTTGCGGGGAGTGCTTTTCTTCGACCCGCAAGCGCCTTGACCACCCCCTGCGGAGGAAGGAGCGCGGTACTTGGGGGACCTTGCTGAAGCGGGCGCTGGGGACTCGCCCCCCCAAAAAAAAGAGAGATGGTGGTTTCCTTTTGGTTTCTGGTTTCCTTGTGGTTTCCCTTTAAAACCATCTGTTTTTGGGTTCTCTCAAACAATTAACACGTACCTGCACACTGATTCCTATGAGCTAAGACTGGTCTCCTTTGACCCGGGACGGAGACCGCCAGGGGAGTTCACGGGACAGCTGAGCCTCAACGAGCTCTACGGGGCGCTGATCTGCTGCTCCCGTGGCACCGTCGCGGCCAAGGCGGGCGAGTGGCCGGCCGTGAGCTTTTTACAGGAGCTCACGGGGGATGGGGTGTGACATGCTTCAGTGGTTATTCCATGGATGTATCGTACAATTAGCAGATTGGCTTAGCGAAAACGAAAGCAAGTAGTTTCTACTTCTACCATGGGCCGAAGGATAGTACTCAGCACAACGTGATTGGAATTAGGCCTTCTCCTTGCATATAAACTGTTTGCCTGACCTTAAGCCATTAGTGAAATCCACCACCAGTGAAATCCACCACCAGTGAAATCCAACACGTATCTCAATTACCAGCTGCAAGTGAAACGAGGCTGCTTCCCTCTTCGACCTCTACGCCCAAAGCGACAGCACGCGAGGCGGGCATGGATGCAGGGCTACGGCATTCGAGGTTCCTGTTCAAAACCAGCTGAAATTGATATAGACAAAGCTCAGAGATGTTTCATTGGGTGTTTGAGAACTGCTTCACATTTGAATTAAGAAGCCGCAACCCCCCCCCCCTTTACCCCCCCCTGCTTTGAGCCAAATAGGTGGGAAGCTTCCCGAAAGCCTTGGGGAAGCTTCCGGAAGCCTTGCGGAAGCTTCCGGAAGCCTTAGGGAAGCTTCGGGAAAAAGGGGGGGGGAGATTGAAACAGGGTGGTCCCCCCCTCCCCCCCCCTTTTTCCCGAAGCTTCCGGAAGCTTCCCCAAGGCTTCCGGAAGCTTCCGCAAGGCTTCCGGAAGCTTCCGGAAGCTTCCGGAAGCTTCCGGAAGCCTTGCGGAAGCCTTGCGGAAGACTTACGGACTTCTGAAGCTTCAGGGGAGCGGACGGGAAGGGCAGGGGACGGGGAAGGAAGGGGTGCGAGGGGGACGAGCATGAGCGTAGTGGTGGGTGTCATTTTCCAGGGCTTGTCGCGCCGCCAGTCAGTGGGGAACGCTTTGGGAGCCAAATACTTTAACAGTGTTATAACACTCCAATAGCAGTGCTATAGCATGTCTCAAGGGGGGGGGGGTAAGGGAGGGGGGGGGGGTTATGCTTTCTTAATTGAATATGTTTTCGTTGCACGTGCCTGGTCAAGGATTTTGCGACAGTCAGACAACCACATAGAGGGAACCATCACCTCCGGCAGAAGGAGCTGCAGGGCGAATTCTCCCTTTCGAAGGTTCCTCAAAGCCGTTTGGAGGGCCTCGCGGCCTCCGCAATCAGAGCTGAGTTCGTCGGGATCAACGCATGTTGGATGTTTCCCTGGAGTTCCGCTTCTTTTTATTCCGGCACCAAACGGACAAGAAGAAGCACTCAAAAAGGCACACATGCAAAAGGTTTCTGAAAGACCAAGCCGACGAAACGAAGAAATTCACAAAACGGCCAACAGCAAACGGGCCAAACTCCAGGCGTGCACCAAACCCGGGGGGGGGGCTCCATCGGCTCCATCGGCCGCCGTTCGAATTGAGGCAAGGAGCTGGCGGCGGCGCCGCACGTCACGCCCAGCAACAGCATCGCCAAGACCACCACGGTGCAGGACATAGAGGCGAGCTTCACCTGAACTTGGGGTCAATCCCTTATTTAGCTGGCAAAATGGGGCCGATGTGTTTTTGTTTTTTGCCCATTTTTTTTTTTTTAGTTTTCTCAGTTTTGATTTGTTCGTTTTTTTTTTTGGGGGTTGGGGGGTGGGGGGGGTAGGGGAGGTGGGGGGGGGGGGCGGGGGGAAGGTGCATTTCGCTAGCTTCACCTGTCCGAAACAACCCAACCCCATGCTTCTTTGTTTTTGGTGGATTTGAGGGCATCCTGGATTTAGGGCCAATGCTGAGGGAACCCCTTTGATGAACTGGTTGTTTTGGGGGGGTCATTCTTTGCGCCAAGGGAATCCCCCTGAAAATGACACAGTAGTCGAGGTGGATCTTCCACTTTGGTGTTGCACAAAGGGAATCTTTTTCCCACAACCGTGTGGTACCCTCCCATCCCCCTTGTTCAACCCACAGTTAACAGGGGTAATCGGGGTCCTGAGAAATATGCCTGTTGGGGGGGGGGGGAAGATTGAACATCATGAGACACAAGGAGAGACACAAGGAGCCCCAACCCCCCCCCCCCCAGGCCACGTTTTGGGTAAGGCAACACGCCAAATTATTGCTTTGCAAAACCAGGGCAGAGTCAAAAGTTTTAAGAATGAACATGGGATATGCATCGCAGGCCGTGTTCTTTGCGTTCGTTGCTTTGGTTGCTTAGGGCAATGCACCCTTCTACTGATATGTGTTCTCGTGGGGATTCTCAGGCTTTAGTTGACAAAGCGCACGGCAGGCTACATGGGATCTGTCCCTGCCCCTCGCATGAATGTATATATTGGTATGTGTCAAAACAAGGGCACCTCCAAACTGGTGGTGTTCCTTTCGGTTGCCCTATAAACCAACCTGAAACGGGTTCCCTCAAAAGCACAAGCTCGTTTTTGGGTGAACACACTTGCCTCATTTCGACAGCCTACGCCAGCAGACGGAAGGAGCCTTTTGGGCTTCCATTTTGTAGCTCCGTTTTGCAGGCCTCAGAGAGGGTATGGTGCGCCATACAAACCTGAGACTTTCGGAACTCGGCCTGAAACTTCGCTGTGGGTTTGCTTTCGGTTGCCACCAGGACCACTTTCTTTCGCTGAACACTCTTTCCCTTGTGTAACAATACTGTATGAACAACGAATCCAGAGGCTCCTACAATGCCAACATCAGGGCCCCTTGTTTCAACGGACGTTCAAAGGCAACAGTAAAAGAGGAAGCCGACCATTTAGATACTTGACTTGAGAGTTGGTGACTACTTGATGAGAGAACCATGATATATAAGCAACCACACAGCTGAGCATCACACCATATCAAGTTAGAGAAAGCCGCGCGTATGCTTCATGAGTCTACATGCAATTTGTCGTGGGGTTTTTGATTTCTCCATTTGGGGCGAGCTCCCGTCCTTCGTCCCCACCCGCCGACGCCAGCGCCGTGTCTCGCAGGCCATGGCGGAGATGAGCCGCATCCTGGCGCCGCAGCTCGGCGAAGCGCGAAGTTTGCAGCCGTGGCGACGAATTGGAGGTTCAGGTAACCCCTAGTTGGTAGTCTGGATTGGTTTGGATTTGGATTTGAAGCCCTGGTTCTTGTGGGAAATGGTAAGCCCCCAAACCTCCAAACCACCAATCCAAACCACCAATCAGGCGGAAGCTGAGATGTGGTGGGGAAAAGGCGAGTTGGACAGCCAACACTTGCTTTGGCTGACTCGTTTTTTTGGTTGGATTGGAAGATAAGAGGTTGACGGCCATGGTTCGTCTGGTGCAATAAGTGTATGATGTTTGTTGTTTCACACTCACCAGGAAGCATCCATCTTTCAGCACTGAGGGACAACAGACACGCAACATGAGAATGACTTCACTTACCAATACTATCTCTCTGTACAACGGTTTATTCCAAAGGATGGATACCCAGGCCGGCCATTTGATTGCTGCATATTGCTGCCATGCGCATGCATCAGCATGGGACGCCCAAAGAGGAGGGCAGACATGTGGTTTTTCCGAAACAAGCCCACACGATGTTCTCTTGCTAGAGACACACTGCTTCTATTTGCTTAGAGGGTGACTCTTCTTCGGATGCTACCATTTCGCTGGAATGGCGGGCATTTGGTTGAAGGCCCATGGGCGACAGGCCTCAGAAGTATCCAAGGGTTAGGAAGCTTTGAGTGGTCGGGCAGCGGGCATGTTCCGTGTGCACTTTGGTGAAGGGTAGATCTCACTTGAACAACCACCTTTTGAAGTTCACCTCCGCCTGATCAAAGTGGAGGACATGGTTGTACCATGTTTTTTCCCCCCCCCTCCCCCGACGAAAAGGACATGGTGCATCCAAGTAAGTGCACTTGGATGTGGATTTGGTTTCGAGGCGTATTGGTCCCCCCCCCCCCGACTCCCAGGATGGACCCAGAGACCTTGGAGGCTAAGCAGGAGAACGTGCTGCGCTTCACGGCCGGCCCCCGCGTTTGGGTGGGGGTGAGGGTAAAGTTAGTTACAAGGCGACGCCCTCTGAACAAAATGCAGGTTTCATGAACCGTGGCTTAAACACGTCTCCTGTCTCAAGTGGTTCGCCCGAACCTGCCTTTTTCTTGGAGTTGAGTAGTCAAGAAAGACCTCCCGAAGCAGCGCCGAGGTTTGGATGCATAGAAGCGCGTAGTAAGCCTGTAAGGTCATCGAAGTGGGAGGTGTCGCTTGGGGAAATTTGGGGAAGAGCGGATTTTTTCAGCGGTGTTCGACTTTACAGTTTGGAAGAGGTCAGGGTGTCAGTGAATTCTTGGCAGAGGATGGGCAGAAAAGATGTTCGACAGATTCAAGTTGCAAGACGTCGGGCATGCAGACTAATGGGCTGATGAGAACACCACACTGCACATGTCAAAGCAAAGATGGGCTGTGACTTCTTCACCGCGGCTTTCGCGAGATCCAAGGCATTTGCTCATCGGTTGATTGGTTGAGCCCCTTGAGTCGGAGACGGGACAGTTGGTTTTGTTGACGGACGCCTTGCCCCATCTGTTTCCTACACTGGACCTACAGCTGGCCACCGAGCTCCCGCAAAGCTTGTTTCCAGCTGAGCGCCTGGAGATACAGCGGCAGTGGGGGGACATGATGGAGGCTGCAGTTTCGGCTCATTTGCCATGTATCGCAGTCTGTTTCGGGGTGGTTCCTCACTTGCTAAGAAACCAGAGCTGAGAAGTGCCCGAATCGAAGGAACCGGAAGCTTCAGGGAAGTTGGGAGCTTTGCGAGGCTCACTTTTGAGTCAGACGCAGGTTGCGCAGAGTTGCAAAGTGATGGGTTTCCAGCCGGTCCAAAATGCTCAATCTGCCAGATCTTTGCTCAATCGGCAAAACAGACCAACTTGTGGGGTTCGCATCCTTTCGTGAAGAGTTCTGGTTCCGCAAGCCAGACCCCAGCTGTCCATAAAGCCGCCGAACTTGTTGCCGCACCATCTCGGCAGGACCAGTCATACTGATGTGGTGCCATTCATCGGTCTTTGACCTTTGGGGTAGAAGGCTTCCCTGCACCTCGGCCTCTTTTGTCGGATCGCAGGTCATGACCAGCTATCCCAAGACTGGGGTGTTGGGCGACGTGCTCATCCCCTCCCTGTCGCCCTACATCAGCAGCGCTGGCATGTCTTTTAAGATAGGGAAGATGAGACGCGCGAGCGCACGTTCAATTTTCAGGTGTGCCTCGAGACGCAAACCAATTTGTGGAAATTTGCAACTTCCTTTTGCCAAGAACACCCGCCCGCATCATCTATTTTTCTGCTGATATCTGAGAGACGCGGAGGGCCTTGGGATCAGTGGTTGCTTCACACTGGTTGCTGCCGGCAAGGATGAATACGTTGCCGAAAAGCTGCCATGTGTTTCGATCATGGGAGTTCCAAGCAAAGATTCTGTTCCAAGGCCTCACCCTCGCCGACATGTCATTGTGAAGTGACTGTGCATTCCCAAAAGACAATTTTCTGGTTGGTCATTGCAAGGTCTGGTGAGACACCTCCAGATCAATTGGATAGCAGTGGCTGGAACGATCCTTGGTGGGTGCCTTTTTGTTGGCAGCCAGGTGCCAGCAAGCCGGTCTTGAAGAGCTACAACATCTGGGGTAAGCTGCCCAACAGGCTGGCGCAAGCCATGTGTGATCACCATGGCAGAAAATGTGTGCAACCCCATGTGCCATTTGCTTTACAATAACCAGTAAGGCTATTTGAGAACCTGAACAGGTCACGGTGGTTGCTGGGCTCATGAAACCCCTGATTTTTCTCCAGACGCTTGCCCGTGCCGTGCTGGTACGCCAGAAGCAAGCGAAACACCGCATGGCCAAAAACGCTTCAGATGTTTGTATTTTGCTGCTTTGGGAAGTGGACTCCACCCTTGAGCGTCCTTTTCTCTCGCGCGCTGACCGTTGGTTTGGCCCTCTCCAGTCCCAACAAATTGGGCCGCGAGATGTCCGCTGGCTCAGGGAAGGGCGAGGAGGCGCCAGCAACAATGCGAGCAACAACATGGGCAACGAAGCGGGGGGCGAGCGGCTGCTGTGCCTGGGGGAGATCATGATGGCCCTCCATTGGGCACCCAGGACCGGATGGACGGGACAGATGTGGGGGTTTGGCAAAAGGCAAATCGAAACATGTCAAGCCTGACAGCCTGAAAAAGGGGCCGTGGTTGTTGAGCAGCTTGTTCTCGCTTAAGGCTTCCTGTTGACTGCGGGGCCAGTTTGGTTTGGCCAGGTCTTAAAAGGGAAGCAACGGCGACTGGCTTTTTTGTGGTGATTCACCAGAAACCATTGCTTTTTGATCGGGTTCTGAGTGTCCTGGGTCCCAACTTGAAACTTGCTGGTCAAAAGTTGAGCTGGATGCAGCGTGGCAGCGTGGATGATGGCTGCAGTCGGGGAATCACCAGAGCCGTCAGGCCCTGGATTTGCACAAGAAATGAAACAAGAACTTACTCCCCCAAAAAATTAGCGGAAGGAGCCAAAAAAGCGGTCTCCCAAAAGGAGGCTCCTAGCTGTACACACCGACTGTCACAAAAGCCAGGAGCTAACCATGACTGTACCCCACCCCATTTTCTTGATCCCGCGAGCACGGCCAGTAACATCCAGAACCCGAACAAGGGGCAGCTGACGATTCAGGTGAAGCACATCAAGCGACTTGGCTTCCGATTCGCATCCTTTTCAGTCGACCTTGGGAGAAAAAGAATGCAACATAGCAACAACACATTTTACCCGGGCTGCTTCCTTGGGGTTCCTTTCACCTCCCCAAGTGGATGCTGGTTTTCTTACACAAGTATCCCATTTGTGATCATCCATGGGCCAATGGGCCCTGGCCAAAATGATTGCTACGGGCATAGGCCACCCGCAGATGGGCAGACGTATTGAAGTCACGTGTCACCCACCGCCACAAAGGGTGGAACTTGTGTTGCTGACGCTTGGTGGAAGTCAAGCCCAGTTCTTTAGTCGCTTTGTTTAAGTTTACAGGTTCCCCTCTGGCCACTGGGCGTTTATGTCAAGATAAGAGATAAGTGGCCCATTTGCCCATTGCAGCAATGTTTGGCACATGGAGGAACTGCTCCGAGTGACAGAGGTAGGTCCCAAAAGCAAACATGGGAAACCCGGCATAAGGACTCCCCGAAGACATTTGCGTCTAAGAGCCACCCTCTTTCAGGTAAATGGGGACGTTCCATCAGCTCACTCGCATGTCCCACATCGGTGATAAAAAAAGCAGCTCTCTTTTTGGCTTGTTTTAGACGTTGGTTGACTTTATGTTGGTCCTGTTCTAAGGCCTTCCCCCTTCAACGAGTGAACTCGTGATCAGCAACTTTGTCCAGGGTCTGAGTACCTGCTTGAGGTGTCCCTTCGGAGGTGGCTCCAATACGAAGGCAATGAAGACTGTTGATTGTCCCGTCTTTCCAAGTAAGGGGATTGGCCTCACAGCAAGAGGAGGCATAGGCTGCATGAGGAAATGCTACGCATGTACAATGCTCTCGATTAGAGAGCTGGCCTTTCGTGTGGCCTTTCATCAAGCTACTGTGGGGACCGAGCAGAACTGAACCCTACCACGCAGTGCACGGAACGAACGGAGGCCCTTTCCGGACTTTGCTTGACCTTCCCTTAATAGCTCTGAAAGTCCAGGGCCTTGGACCTTTGGGGGGTCTTTGGTGCTGGAAGCAAAGATCAGACAAGGAGATCCTTCGTTCATCCATGGACAGGGCTGTTCGTTTTGACCTTGAATTCCACACATTCGACCCATTGGCCGTGGGCTTAGTTGGCACTTGCAGGTTCCAGGAGTACTACATCCTGGAGCCCTACAATGTCAACCCCTGGATTACCGTGTGGCTCAGCACAGACGATAAGGCCTGGTTGGCAAGCGAGGGGTGGGAGCACCTGGGACTTGTTGGTGAATATCACAGCTGAACGGCCTCCATTTGAAGGAGCGAGAGGGTCCACAGCTAGCCAAGATGCTACAGTAGGTCGAGCGCACATGGATAGTGAAGAAGATGAGGTTGTTCTATTCATGATTGATGGCTGATTTCTTTAGGATGCACCACCTAAATGGACCCTATGTTGACGCATGCCTTCACGGAAGTTGTGATGACTAGCCCGACCTGTCCCTGTCCTCTATAATACACCTTGAGCCGAATCAGTTTGCGGGTGCATTGGCTGGGCTGCATCGGTCGGATTGCAACAGATTTCTGGGAGTCCTCTTGTTTCTATGCTGCTGACTTGCTAGCCATGCCAGGTTTCTTCGTGACTGAGATTTCGATGCTTGCTCTTCGGGTTGCCTTTGTCTGCAGCGAGTCGCCAAACTAGAAAGCCGTGGAAAAGGATGCTTTAGCATGCATCAGGGTCGTATAGGAAGTATTGAGGCCATCTCAGCATGCTAGTGTTTGTGATTGTGCGCCGCTGCGCTGCAAGACTCGGCGTAGGGCATCAAACTTGGAGACCCCTTGATTTGCAGTCGAAGTTCCCTACAAAAGCCATTCCAAAGGGGCTTTGCTTTTGAAACACACTCATGCGTCTATGAATTTGAATGGGGCACTCCTTCAAACGTGATTGGACATTAATTACACCCCCAGCTTGGTGTCCACCATTTCGGGGTTCCCCAAAAACATCACGAGTGGGTCTGTCCACCAGTTCGGGTTCTTCATTAAAACTTTGGTGCATTTTGCTTGGATGTTAGGACTTTCACTTTTTGCCAACTTCTGGGTTGTCCATTAAACCACGAAAAGTTAACCATTTAGCAGGGGAGCAGAAGGCAACCGAGAAAAGTTCACCTACCCGGGTCCGGCGCAACGTCCCGCTGGCCACCGCGCCAGGCCAGTGGCCGGGTGTGGTCGGAGATCAAGCGCTGGGATCCCCGCGGCTTCGGCGTGGCCGCGCAGCGGGACAACGTATCGGTGTGCCTTGGAGCGAAGTGCGGTTGCGCTCGTCGGATGGGGAGTGCCTGTGGATAAAGAGGTCGTGGGAAGTCAATAGTCGCAAGAACAAGCGAAGGAAGGAGCAAAAGGAAGGAAAAGAAGGACAAAGTAGAGGAAGAAGAGGAACGAAATGGGAAAGAAAGGCGAGCAAGAAAAGCAAAACAATGACGGGCATTAGTAAATAAGGGAAGACAAGGAAGGAATCAAGGGCGGAAGGCAAGAGAGAAGCAAAGAAAGAAACACAGTAAGAAAGAAAGAAGGAAGGAAGGAAGGAAGGAAAGAAAGAAAGAAAGAACGAAAGAAAGAACAAAAGAAAGAAAGGCAGAAAGGAAGGGAAGAACGAAAGAGGGAAAGAAAGAAAACAAGCAAATAAAGAAAGACAATCACGAAATAACGAAAGAAGGAAAGAAGGAAAGAAGGCAAGAGGGATAGACGGAAAGAAGGAAAGAAGGAAAGAAGAAGAACAAAAAGAAGGAAAGAAGGAAAGAAGGAAAGAAGGAAAGAAGGAAAGAAGGAAGGAAGGAAGGAAGGAAGGAAGGAAGGAAGGAAGGAAGGAAGGAAGGAAGGACGGAAGGACGGAAGGACGGAAGGACGGAAGGACGGAAGGACGGAAGGACGGAAGGACGGAAGGACGGAAGGAAAGACGGAAAGACGGAAAGGAAGCAAATAAAGAAAGGAAGGGAAATAGCCTATGGATGGAAGCAAGGAAGAAATAAAGAAAGGACATAAGGACAGACATAGACAAATAATCAAATGAATAAATAAAGTCAAGAAATAAGACCGGAATTCGGAAAAGTCACAAATAACTAAATGGATGATAGATGTTCAAGCCCATCAATACAGTAAGAAAAGTGAATAGGGAAGGACGGAAAGCAGGCAGGCAGATGGGAAGGAAGGGCAGGAAGGATTGCAAAGAGCTGACGAAAGAAAAGCAATCTCCCAGACGAACGGCATTGGGGTATTGGGCATGCCCAAAACAAGTCCCTCAGGACTCGTGTCTCTTGGTTTTCCTCAAGGTTTTTGGCTTGGACACATGGGAGGCCCTTAAGGCATGCCCCAAAAGACATGTCCTCAGGACTTGTCAGTTTTTATGTTGCTCTAAGATTTGTTTGGTTTGGCAAATGGGATGTTGCTTGGCAGTTGTTCAAATGCCCCATGATATTGCCTCACGTCTACTAAAACACTAAATCACAATTGTGAAGAAGCCACAAACAAACACCCGCCACTTAGGGCAACGCTTTCTGAAACGAAGAGCCGAGAGACAAAAGAAGGAACAACGTGAAGCACTGCTTGAAAGCACGTAAACCACAAGAACGGATGGAAGGACAGATGCAAGCGCACATACACACACACACAGAGGGCACGTGTCAACTGGTTTGAGCCCTCTTGTTTGGTAGGTTTTGAATAGGACACCAAGCAGAAGCCAAAGTCAGCATGTGGACCGCAATTATTGAAAGCTCACCCGGTGGCAAAACGAACTCGAGCCGCATGATGCAGGTCCCTGAGAAATTCCCTCATTCAGTTTGGTGAGTTATAAGCTATACCAACTACTTGCACAGGAGGGGGCCTATGTTGATAGTGCCGTTGAGTGAGTGCGGGGGCATTTTCCTTGTCATCCGCAAGGATCGAAGCAGGGGACGGGTGGTAAATTTACCAGTTTCCTGCGGACCACCAGCCAGGTTCATGCCAAGCTTTTTTTTTTGGTAGCCTGAGCAATCACTCTAAGGCATGTCCCCTGGAGATTGAAGGAGATCCTTTGGATATGTTTGGAGGGTCTTTTGTTTCGCTTGTTCGGCATGGCACCACTGAGTCTTACCTGCGTGATATTCAGCACTTATTTGTTGGCGACTTCCCTCTGTGTTTTCCAAACGTCTGGCTCCGTGATACTTCGAGGACCGTTTCACCGATCAAGACCAAACTGGTGCTCGAATGGTAGCTCTTGTGCTGGACGTTTACCATTTCAGGCGTTGATCTAGGACCATTCAGGTTTGACCAGAAGACAATGTGGTGTAGTCCAGAAGAAAAGATCTCAAGTTGAACTACGGGGGTTGCCAAGAAGCCCGCAGGCTTCTTCTTTTCGTTGCAATTAGCTTAGCAGCTTAGTGACATCCGGGATATGAACGCCTCACCGGCTCTTGCCCAGCTTTTTACATGCCCACATTCTGCCCGTGTTGAGCATCATGTTTACCAGATTCAGATGATTGCCCCTTTAGTTTGTTGGATGCTTCTTTTCAGGAACCCTGAAACAGAATCATCACAGAGAGGTTGTGGTTGTCATCGTGCGTCCTTGCTGACATCATCTTGCGTGTGTCTTGCTTTCCCATGAAATCAGCCGAATCCGCTGCCAGCCCCCTTCGTGTGAATGGATCCGAAGTGTCCGAGGACCCAGCGCGGCGCCTTTGGCGGTTTGATCAAGTTCGACCAGACCATGAAAGCCAAAACGCGGGGGGCCTCAGCTGAGAAGAATGATCTGAGCGCAGCCATCTCTGCTGGACTTCTCAGAACGCCTGATGCCTGGTGAAGCTTCTGTCCCTGGGAACCTGATTCCGTGCTCTCCCAAGGCTTCCGTAGCCCACTCCCACTGGGAGTGAAACTGTTTGTTTGAGTAGATGAACCCACTCCAGCCCACCAATGGTCGTGTCTTGCAGTGAATCAACAAGTTTCTGTGGTACGTTGCGAAATGGGACCCCCCAAATCGTGGTTTTACTCATTTTTCCCGTTTACACCAGCCCCAAAGCACACCCATTTCATTCTGGTGCTCACGCCCAATGGGCGTGCCTTTGCTCAAGCTGTCAGAAACCGGATGCGTGCCATGGGCAGTTCCAACAGTCCTTCGGGCACCCGGCCCTAAGCTATGCTCAGTGTTTTTGTTGTCATGTCAGCTTGCCAACACGGGATTTCCTTGTTGCTTGTTTTTGTTCCTGCGCTCAAGTTTCATACATCTTGTGCCCTTCATTCTGGGTACTGTGAGCATTCGGCGAATGCGCTTAAAACAGCCTTGCTGCGAATGAGGGAATGGCGGCTGAGAAGCATCCGACTGGTTTCCGTCTAGATCTTTGGGTTTCCCATGTGGTGATTCGACCTCCGCCTCGAGGTACGGCGGCGGCAACACCTTGGGCTCCTGGGTGCAGCACGGCAGCGGCCAGGGCTGGATGCCTGCCACGGACGCCAAGGAGACGCGGGACCTGCGAATGTGGAAGGTGCCATTGGATTCAGCAGGTCAGAACGTCCGCGGTGCGGGGAAAGCGATATGTTTATGTATATATATATATACACATGTATACGTACGTGCACATAGAGATACTCTCGGGAAGGGTCTAAGCACCTCCATTGCCATGATCTCAGCTTCATCTTGGTTTCAGTTTGCAGTGGGCCGAATGGCGGGTGGCTTGCAACCCCACCCGCGGCCCCAACCTCCTGGTTGGCCCTGGACGATGCGCCCAGTGGCCAAAGAAAAGAAGCGACACAGAACCTCAAAAGAGGTACCCGCACGCGGATATTCCTTTGAGAGCATAACGCTGTTCTGCGGCTGTGTCATTGGAGTCTGGTCAACATCCATCCTGACATTTGTGTAGAGCTCAGCTTCGCTTCCTGCCCTGCAGGAGACTGGCAGATGGGAGTGGAACGAGGCCGCCGGCAGTGGGACTTCTGGGGTTGCGACAAAGATTGAGACAATGCCTTCAACTGTCAATCCTTTGATATCAGAGCCTTGCAAGAATGCTGACCTGGAGTTTGGCACGACCGCTCAAATGGGTTACCTCAGGATGTGTGCGCTTGACGTCCAATTCTAACCCCTCAGGAGGGTGAGCATAGTAAAGCTCACCCAAAACCGATGCTCCTCCCACGGCATTTTTTTTGCATTTTATCCTGACTGCATCCTGATCCTGTGGCCGTTCCTTGCAACTTCTTCCCCTCTGACAACCTTCCACTTTTGGTGACTAAGAATGGGTCACTCAAAGTTGCACCAGAGAGGTGCCTCCCCTGGACCTGAAAGCACAAAAGAGAGTCACGTTCTCCTTGCAGGAGAACGATCTTAAAAAAAACATAGGTTGTATTGCCAGCGAAACACTGCCATGGTGTGGGCATGTCCATGTAACAAGATGCACATAAAGAAGTATAGATGTTGTATGCAAGCCAAATGAGGGATGCATTGGACTGCCTTGATGGGAATCTACAGTGCTCCATGTGAGGTGCGTGACTTTCAGGTGCAGTTCGACGTGTGGCGGAAGGCTTAGGTCATATCAACCGGTGAGTTAGTTGCATTCACTCGGAGCTGGTTCTCGGCACGAGCCCACAACCCGACCCTAGGCCAGCAGGGTTCGTATGCGGAAACCATGTTGGGTTTGGGCGTGTTAGTTTCTGGGTCGTTTGGAGAAGTGTTTGCTCGGTCCCAAAGGCCCCTGTGGTATCAGGCATGGCAAGCCGATAAGGACATGTTCCAAGAGTGGGGTGCCGGTTTCTCACTTAAAGCGTGGAGGGTCCAGCGCGAGCTTGTACTGGATGATGCCCCGCAGGTCTGGGGCAAGCAGTCCTCCGTGAAGGATCTTCAGGCGGGCAAGCTGCGCAGAAGCAGGACGCTTGATGGCGTGCACTTAGTAAAGATGCTGCATCCCAGTTCGTTTCAAGATCAACTGAGCCGTCAAGTGCAGATTTGCAACTGGCCCGATTCCGGTATTACGCTTGAAATGCTGCAAGCAACCTGAAATTGATAGCCATGGCAGTGACTTCGCCTGGGCACCTTTCTCTGGGCTCCCCTTGGAAGACCAGCCACCAGTCAAAGGCTCCAGCCACTGTTCAAGTGCCAGCCTGATGGAGGGCCCCAGGGAAGGCCTGTTTTATGGATCTCATGAAGCCTCGTCACATGCGGCGGAGCCCCAAACATCGCAGGTAAACCACCCGAAAAGCGGTTGGAGACCAGCGTTCCAAATAGAAAGCACAAGCAGAAGGATTGCTTCAGCCAAAATTGCTAGATCAGTAGCTACTGTTGAGAGAAGGTGAAGACTTCGACAAACACGCAAAGATACAGTTCTACCGAGGTTTATCGAGGTCTGCAACCCGATTTCGTCATGGTCTCACCGGCTTGCAGTGCTATTTGGCATGCATCAACCTGACATAGTGTCTGTTAGCCGCGGTCTTGGTCTGGTATTCACACATTACCTGGCAGTACACGTCGCGTACGCTTCTGGCCTCACAGCCCTGGAGCTACTTGCCAGTCAAGCCGGCTAAAGGGCTATAGGTCTGACTAAGCATCCTGGGCCCTTGCGTGTAACACACACACAACACACACGTATAGCTATATTAATACATGTGTGTATAAATGCACATGCAGTACTGTACAGATACACATAGTATAGACACATACATACATACATACATACATACATACATACATACATATATATATATATATACATATATATATACATCTATATGTACATTGTTCCATGTGTGTCTACATATACACATACACCTGCATATGCATCAAGTTACACATACCGCCGCCATAAACATTATATGTATATATAGCTGCACCTATACACGCACATATAGACATACACATGTACAGAATTACATACATGTATACATACACATATACAAACATGCATACACATATTCTTACACATGTCGACGCATACATACAAACGTACGTACTTGTGCATGCACATAAATATATGTATATGTATATGTATATGTATATGTTTACATACATACATACATACATACATACATACATACATACATACATACATACATACATACATACATACATACATACGTATACGTGCAAACTTACGTACATTCACGCGTACATATGTACATAGACACACACACACACACATACCTACACCTGAATATCTACAAATATAGATTTACATCTCTACATGCATATGTCGACACATACATATATATATATATATGTACACATGCAAATGTACATATATATATATATGTATGTGTATATTTACATGTATAGATGTCTTTTCAATTTTGCATATACACATATATTCGTAATTGCATATATATATATATACACACCGTCTTTTGCGGTACTTTTATGAATCACTGTAACCCTGACTCTTCCACAAAGACCCACATATCATCTCACACAAAACATGTCTTTTTCAATAACTCTTCTCTACAGAAAATTCACATATCCTCTCACCCAGAACATGTCTTCTTTCACAAAGGTTCACATATCCTCTCACCAAAACATGCCATTTTTCAAAGGCTCTTCCACAGAAAATTAACATATCTTCCCACACAAACCCCTTCTTTCAAAGACCCTTCCACAGAATTTTCACATATCATCTCACACAAAGCATGTCTTTTCAATAACTCTTCTCTACAGAAACTTCATTCATCCTCTCACCCAAAACATGTCTTTTTACATGCCTTCTTTCACAAATGTTCACATATCCTCTCACCAAACTCTCACCCAAAACATGTCTTTTTGCATGCCTTCTTTCACAAGGAATCACATATCCTGTCACCAAACCCATGCCCTTTTTCAATGGCTCTTCCACACAAAATTCAATTCACATATCTTCCCACACAAACCATGCCTTCTTTCAAAGGCTCTTCCACAGATAATTCACATATCTTCCCACACAGAGCATGCCTTGTTTCAAAGACTCTTCCACAGAAAATTCACACATCCTCTCACCCAACACATGTCTTTTTACATGTCTTCTTTCAATGAAACAAAGGCAGCATATGTGAAAGAGTTGCCAAGGAAAGTGAACCCTGTGTAGAAAAAAGCCAGGCTATGGCTAGGACAGTTTGTGTTACATAAATGGTGGTTTTACATGATATGTACTGTCTTTTGCAGTACTTTCATGAATCACTGTAACCCTGACTCTTCCACAAAGACTCACATATCATCTCACACAAAACATGTCTTTTTCAACAACTCTTCTCTACAGAAAATTCACATATCCTCTCACCCAGAACATGCCTTCTTTCACAAAGGTTCACATATCCTCTCATGCTCCGCAAATGGTGCGCAACATTTGGAATTTGTTGCGCAACATTTCCCTGGACCAAAAAAACAAAAAATCCCCCCCAAAAAAAAGCAAAGAATCCCAGCCATGGTGCGGGCTAGGATTTTTTTTTGGCTTTTTGGTGTTTTGTTTTTTTTGGTCCACAAAATGGCCTTGCAGAAAATGCATGAGTTCAATCAAAATACACTGTAAATATCAATGGATTTGATACATGATGCAACAACACCTGGGTACTGGGGGGGTATCATATATATATATATATATTGATATTTACATATATATATGTATACATCATATCTATGTACATACATACATACATACATACATACATACATACATACATACATACATACATACATACATACATACAGACATTGTTACATACATACATACATACATACATACATACATACATACATACATACATACATACATACATACATACATACATACATACATACATACATACATACATACATACATACATACATACATACATACATACATACATACATACATACATACATACATACATACATACATACATACATACATACATACATACATACATACATACATACATACATACATACATACATACATACATACATACATACATACATACATACATACATACATACATACATACACATACACACATACACATACACACATACACACACACACACATACACATACACACATACATACTTACATACACATACATACATACACAGACATGCATACATACATACATCCATCCATGCATGCATGCATACATACATACATACAGACAAACACACATACATACATACATACATACATACATACATACATACATACATGCTTTTATGTGGACATCCATAGGCTTTGAACCCACGTGTATATATATATATATATGTATATATATATAAATGACACATGCACCAGCACATATATGCACATGTGTATACAGATGCACATCACCATGCACAAATACATATATATATATATAAGTGTTCTCATAGGCACATATATGAATATACATACATATATACATACATTTTTGATTATTTTTAAACACAACCACACATATGGTCAAACATATCTACTATCAAGACGTACATGTATACATACATATACACATGTATACCTTTATGCCTGCATGCACTGTGTTGCTGGACCCTTGGCAAGCCTCATGAGACCGCCCATCCGCCCCCAAGCGTGTGTGGGTCTGGAAGGTGCACCCGGAGTTCGTGCAGCTCTCGTCGCGGAAGAACCTCATGGACCTCATGGGTGTCCGGCTGCTGGTGTCCCAGGTCCTCCAGAGGCGTTTGGGCGTCTGGGGATGGGCGTCCGGAGCTGCAGATTTCGGTGACACCCTCCTTGTGATGCAGCGAGGATGGGTGGGAAGGGTGGTTTGCCACAATGGGGAGGCATGGAGATAGGCAAAAACACGGCGAACGGAATCTAGCAGAGATGCACTAGGGCAGGCAATGAGGTAGTAGCCCAGGAATGTTGACCCCATATTAATCAACCCCAGTTTCTGGATAGGGAGGTGTCTGGATTTAGTGGGAAATCATTACTTTTGGAGGGGAATATCTCCCCTATCTATAAACCGGGGGTGGATTAATATGGCGCCAACATACCTACAAATGGCATGAATGCTGGCGACAGCAACTAGAGCGTTGCCAACATCGAGCTGTCCCTGCAACGGTTTCACAAGGGTCCTTTCATATCCTGTCACTGTTTCTCGACAAAGTAGGATAGATCACGAAGCTGAAGATTCTTGCGGCCGCAACGCGCAAGGTTGTTTTCTTTCCCAGTGAGTTGGGTCACTCTGGTTCACACTGATAGTTGGCATGTTTTCGTGCTTTGACTGGTCGGAGGCAGGCCAGAGTGGCGATTAATGTTGCACCTGGTTTAATATCGGTAGTCTGAATTATGTCAAGTTTCCCCGGCTTAAACACGACCCCCCCACTGTTTCGGCACCATGATTTATGTCAAGTTCAAACCCCAAAAAATCCCGTTGAAAAAATCTGACTCAAAATTCGCAATATGGGCAACTGATTTCTCCTCTCAGCTTCCTGGCTCAGTCACTGTAGTGAAACTCTTCAAATCTTTGGTTGCTCAACCTGAGACGCTGTGGGCCTCAAAATCTAAAAGCTTAGCAAGGACCAGGCCAAGACCTGAGCCTAAGAACTCCTGATTCGATCCTGAGCGCTAACCATCAAAATTATTTACTTAAATCCATCCAAAAACAAGCCCCAAACAGTCCTGCAAAGGGGGTTGCCCACAAGGGGGTCTGATCCTCTTTAAGGGGCACTGTTTGGGTACCATGTTTAATGTCCAGTCTTAGGCGTGGGTGGGTTAGGAATCCCCAGGTCAGATCTTAGCCTCTTTCTTTTAGAAGGGGCTCCAAATCTAAAAGCTTAGCAAGGGACCAGGCCAAGACCGAAGCCTAAGAATTCCTGATTTGATCCCAAGCCCCAACCATCAAAATTATTTACTTAAATCCATCCAAAAATAAGCCCCAAACAGTCCTGCAAAGGGGGTTGCCCCACGAGGGGCCTGATCATCTTTAAGGGGCACTGTTTGGGTACCATGTTTAATTCCAGTCTTAGGGGTGGGTGGGGTAGGAATCTCCAGGTCAGATCTTAGCCTCTTTCTTTTAAAGGGGGCTCCAAATCTAAAAGCTTAGCAAGGGACCAGGCCAAGACCGAAGCCTAAGAATTCCTGATTTGATCCCAAGCCCCAACCATCAAAATTCTTTACTTAAGTCCATCCAAAAATAAGCCCCAAACAGTCCTGCAAAGGGGGTTGCCCACAAGGGGCTTGATCCTCTTTAAGGAGCACTGTTTGGGTACCATGTTTAATGTCCAGTCTTAGGGTGGCAACCCAAAAGGAAGTGCTGGCAATACTGAACCAAGTAGTGGCAATCCAAAAGGAAGCGCTGGCAATACTAAACTAAGTAGCGGCAATACCAAAACAATACTCAAGTCACCCAAGCCCCCCGCCAAATCCCTATTCAGGATCCCCAGGACTGTTTTGACTGTTCCAGGGGGAGGGGGGGGGGATCCCCCCAGTAAACAAGGTCCAACATTGGCAACGTTGAGCCCGACGGAAACAACCAGAAGGTCCCTGTTTGCACGCGCAACGCGTTCCCAAGGCTTCGTGCTGGCTGTAAATCAATGCTGTTTCAGCACGAGGGTGTGTGTGTGTGTGTGTGTTTGTTTTTAACTTCCTTCGACATTTGTCGGTTTCAGTGGGCCTTTGTTTCGTTGGGAAAGCCTCCAGGTGCATGATGAACATGTCCAACCGCCAAGCGCTGCTGGTGGCTGACAGCGTCTTCAACCGCGCTGGGGCGGGGATCCAAGGGTCCAAGGAACCCATCGGCGAGCCGGTTTCATTGGGTTGCTACGTGCTGAAACATGGCCATTTTCTGAGTCAGACAGGACTGGGATAACACATGATGGGCGCAGTGAGGAAACTGTGGGCATTAACCCTTCTATTTTTCACTCGCTGTAGGTCAGCTTTGCTGGTTCCCGCACGGATGGTACATGCCACCCTGTCCTGACCGCAAAAGGGATGGCGCAACTCAGGGGTCGAAGTTTGCTGGTGTACCTGCAGAACATGGAACCCCCTTAAAGGCCTTTGGGGGGGTCTTTCAAAGGCAGACCTGTAAGACCATGGCTTCTCAGGTATCTCAGGTATGTCGATTTGTGAGAGGACTCCTGGCTTTTCGCCCTTCGGGGTTCCGGTTGATTTCGCGCGTCGAGGTGGTGCCAGGCATTTGCCAAGCGGTGCTTGCGGCAGAGACGGGGGCCAGGCAGGCCGTTGCCAGACGTCGGAGAGCAGATTCACTCGGCAAAGTGCTGGAACTTTCTTGGAGTTTTCGTCAACATCAGGTGAGTTGGATTTGCCTCAGGTGTCTTGTTCCTTCCACTTTTCTATCAGAGTATAATAAATACACAAATTACTACTGTTCACTGTCCTTCTTTTGGAGGGCTCGACTAGAAGCATGAAGAAGAGAAACGAGACGTGCCATTCCGCGCTACTTTGGAAGATTTGCATTTGTTTTGCTCGTTGCTTGGATTCTACTGGTGGTGCTTCACTTCTGGCAGCACCCCTTCGTTGAGGGGTCATATTTGAATTTGGGGGCATGGTCCTGTCTTAACGGCGTCGAGCGAGTTCATCCAGCCTGACCATCAGGTTTGCCCACACCTCTGGGAGAAAAGTGAACAGCCATCTGACCCATTCCTTGGTGTGTCTACAAGGTGGACAGTACGAGCTCCCCAAATAAGTACTCTGCGCTCACGTTGTCCAACTAGGTTTAAACATTGGCACTTGCGCTCCATTTCAACCGGGGCCAGCCAAAGTATTCGCTTGACAAGTTCGCAGGGATGGTCAGTCTGCCAGAGCCGCTTCATCCCAGATCCGTCAATTTGGCCGGCTTGTTCAAAAATAATCCTTAGTCCTCAGGCCATATGGCAGTTGTTTCGCTTGTTTCACTACAGCTTCCGCCGCTCCCATCCCTTTTCGGTGCTTTGCACTGCCAGCTTTGGGAAGTGCGAACAGAGCCTCACGAAGATCCTGGAAGACTTCGAGGCGGGGATTGAGGCGAAATTCATTCGGTGCAGCGGAAGGTAGGGGTGGGACCACCATTGAGCAAGAGTTGTTGTCTTCAGAGTTTGCAGTGATGTTGATTCTTCACTCTGCCCCATTGTTTGAAAGAGCTTTGACCATGTCACTTGAGATCATTTTCGCTACACCCGCACACACCGTTCTTCTAGCCTGTAAATTGGACGAGTCCCAATCTGCCTGCTTGAGCAATCACCATCGACCTGCGATGTGCAGAAGGAATGTGATACAGATGCACGGGTGCGGAGCAAAGCTCGTGACAGCGACTTTATCTGCAACTGCCCCGTAAAATGGCCCTGCTATTTGGGTCAGGCTTGCGAGAGCCATGCCACTGTCTTGTTTTCAAAACGGAACATTCAGGCAACACGTTTGAACCACGGTTGATTCAACATGCCCCTAGGCCCTTTGCGGCCGAAGATGTCTACCAAGAGGTTTCGGAACTGTTGACGATTGTGTGACAATACTGGACCATATACTCAGCTGGAATGCTTGTGACTTCCCATGTGGCCTTATGAAAGCCTCCGGCCAGAAACGCGGTGCTGTCAACCTTGCGCGGGCGTCATAGATTTGCACATGTCAAAACATGTGTTTGCCAAGTTCTTCACGTTGGTAGAGAGCAGGCCTGGACGGCCTCATGCTCAAAAGGAATCTGAGAGCATCGTGCAAATTGTGTGATTGCAGCGCCAAGTAAATTTGAAGAGTGCAATCAATTCATATCAATTCAAATGGGTTTTGATGGACATTCGGCCGGCCTGCGAGACGACCAAGAAGCAGTACGTAGACGTGACCAGGGAGGTGGTCTTCGAGCACGAGCGCCAGATTGCCTGCAACGGTGCGCGGGCTCGAATATGGTGTGGGTTTCTGGGTTACACTTCGGGACGTATGTACCCGTTTTCGGTGCGTGTCTGATGCGGAAAACCCTGTCTTCCCCGAACACATTCCGGTCCGGCCCATTTCAGAACCAGATACCGGCTCCCATAACTAGGCTTCCCCCCTTGGCAGATTCCTTGCTGCGCACAAATGAGGAGCTGCAGCAGAGTCACGCACCTGCCATTGAACCTCGAGTCCCGAATCGAAGTGCCTGGAGGCTTTACACCCTTTTTGTAGGAGAAACCGACCTGCAGAAGAGGGTTACAAGGAGTGTGATTTTAGCAGTTTCACGCGTGCATCAATGTGACTCAGACTTTTTGGCATTGTCAGTTTGCCGTTTGCACTGATGGTTTTTTCAATGACATGGCAGAAGCCTGTTGGAGTAGGGAGTTTGTCTCAAAATAGGGGGTGCCGCCAGAATGGTTGGTTTCCTTTTTTGGTTTCCCTTGAAACCAAGGTGAAGAGGGTTCCCCCAAAAAGCACACACACACACACAGAGACACCCAGGCTTGTAAACAGGCCCAAGTTCTGAGAAGCTGACAAAACAAAGCAGCTCCCCTTGGCACGACCTCGGATAGGGCGATGGCGGGCTCCGAGTTTAACTGCCCTTTCTAAAGAAGACGATAAATTGAAAGCACCATTTGAGCCACAATCAAAACCCGGGTAGAGGAAGGTTAAGGGGCAGTCCCAGCCAGAAAAGTTGCGGCCGCCTTCTTCTTAATTCTTTACATGATTCTGGGTAGACCATTCTGATACCGGGTTCTGATTGTGACTCATTTGGAACTATTGCAAGCCGAACTAAGGCCAACCGTCCACTTGGTGTGAAATAAACGCAGATAAGCTCGCACACCCCCGCGGTGTGCATCTCGACAGCTGTGAGGCAATCCCAACCACCAAAATTTACTCACCCGCTCCTCAGCTCACGCCCCAGCTTCTCCTAAATCTACCCGAGCCGCACTCTCGCTTTGCTGTAAACCCATCGGCTTCTCTCTCAGACAGCATAAATCACAGGCCCTCGTGGCCCGAAAGGAGTCACAAGCGGACCGGCGATTTCCCGTGGGCCCGGGGACCGGTCGCTCGCCGGAAATCCCGCTTCGGCGGTTCCCGATTCTATTTTTCGCTTCCCTGGGGAAGGTTTTGGACCATCGGTTAACACCATTTTTCTCCCCTGTTTCGAGCGACTTCGCGTTCTGAGCCCAATTCGTCCGAGGTGGGCAGCTGAACCTGTTTGCCTCGAGCTACATGGAAGAGAAGCGCGGGGACTCCGCCGAGCGTTTCCGTTGGTCCATGCTGGCAGCGGTTCCCGTGTTCAGCGGTTTCGGTTTGCTGCCAAGGGCTTGTTGCCCCGTGTTTGCTTCTTGGAAGCCCTTCTTTGAGGTATTACCTGGTTTTGATGGTAGGTCATTGCTGGCTCATGGATGGGAAGAAAAGGCTACCGCATTTCTGTGCTGGAAGGGATTGCTGTCCAGAATCACAGGGCATTCACATATCCTGGTGATTGCGGGTCACACATTTGCGGAGGCTGTTTGAATGATTTAGCACCTTTTCGGGAGAGTTGTCAGCAGCATGTCAGGAGCGATTCTACTACAGCCGTGTAAGAAAGCAGAACGAGGGGTGAAGTTTTCGGCCAACCCGCGCCGTGTGCTTCACGAAAAGGCCTCGTGCCATGGGGGCGGCTTACAGCTGCGTGGAGCGGAGGTTGGATCCTTCGGGGCGCCAGGCTGCACCTCGCCACCATGGGCATTTCAGACCCGTTCCCGGGGAAGAAGAAGGCGATGGGGGGAGGAACACAGATCGTGCCGGGCGCGGGGAGATTCGGGGGACGGGGGACGGGGGGCTGGCGGCTAGCTGCGTCTTTGTTGCTTTTATAGCACTCTTGTCCCGGGGCATTTTTGTTTTCGCCTAAACCACGGATGGGTTGGCTGAAGAATGCATGAGACGAATCGCAAACCAGGCTGCTTGGTATCACGAGCAGAACCCGCACAAGCAAATTCTGAGACAAAGCAATCGTCCCTTTGATTGTAAGGGAAACAGTTGTTCTTCGTGGGGAGGCTGCAGGCTGACCAGAAATCAGTCGACCCTCAGGATCTTCAGGTCCATCTCTGCAGATGAACATCCCTTGTGCTCTTTCCCCACGGGATTACAAAGCCTGCAGTGGTTTACCTTGCCATGCTTCGGGAGGCAGAGGGCTTGTGTCAAGTGGCGTCCTTGAAGTGATTGCTTCTGAGCCGGACGATGTGGAACAGACGGACATGAATTGCCTCCGCGGAAGCGAGGGGCGAAAGGAGAGTTGTAAATGGTCGCAAGGAGGGTAAATCAATTTCGATTCATGTGCGCGCCGCAAAGTCACCTGGATGGAGTCTTGAGCAGGTGCTCGCACCTACCGTGGATGGACAGCATCCTGCACCAGTTGAGTGGAACCATATGAAAAGTGAAATAAACCAAATAAATTTTGTCCATTGCCAGAACCATTGCCACCCATCCAGCACACTCGCCAGCGTTTCGCTCACTCTGGCAGACCCTGTATATCCGCTTCGTTCGCGGCGGCGACGGGCAGCGTTGCACACAGGCACGTGCGGGGTCTCGGTTGGTTGGAAAGGGACACCTCGTTGTTTTGGGGGGTCATTTTATTTTCGCAACAATGCCAGTGTTCTGTTTGCCTTTGCCAGTCTTACCCGCTTTGCCCTTTTTGATGAGGCCATCAATCACCAGCGATATGGAAAAAAAAACGGGCTGCAAAAGCAGAGATCCAGTTGCCACATGGGTGAGGCGTTGTCTTTGCTCCATTTTGGAGACAAGCACAAATCATGGAGGTTCAACTCCTCCCTGGATCGTCTTATTGTTTTTCTGCTTCGGCCAAGCTCAGCGAACTGGGCATTGCTCCGCAAGAACCAGCGGGGAAGCTGGCGTTTTGGGAAAAGCTGCCAATCCATGTCTGTATGTCAAAGTGCCGGCACGCCAGGCTGTGCAGGTGGAGGAGGATGGTGCCATTGAGGCGGCCCACTCAGAGGTGAAGTTGGACGCCATGAGCGATGAGAACCAGGCCAGGGCCGTGCTGCATATGCGCAAAGCAAAAAACAACCATGGGCAAGCTTCCAACTCCGATGCTATGCCTGCTACATGTTTTCCGGCCCCTGCTGGCATCTTTGCCAAATGCAAACTGTGCTACCGGCGCTTGACCACGCTTTTGCTTCCACGCGGAGCTGTGTCAAAACGTGCAATCTTTTCAGGAGTCTCTTTTGCCTGCTAACTTGGGCCTGCGTTATCTTCAGTCAAATTGCATTTCATCCAAAACGCACTGGCACGGCGATACACACAACAACTTGTCATGTATAGATGTTGTTCTATCTGAAGTTGCCCAGCAAATCACGGTCAACTAAAGGTTTGAGACCTGCGGCCCCCTTCTTTCCTTGTTTGTTTGGGCAGGCTCCAAGCAACAAGAAAAGGTCCAAAAGGTGCCTTTGTTTTGCCCTGGCGGAAGAGGAAGAAAGAAAGGAAAACAGTAAGAAAGAAAGAAGGAAAGAAGGAAAGAAAGAAAGAAAGAAAGAAAGAAAGAAAGAAAGAAAGAAAGAAAGAAAGAAAGAAAGAAAAAAAAGAAAGAAAGAAAGAAATAAGGAAAAAACGAAAGGAACCATGAAAGAACACAACGCAATACAACAATGTACCAATGAATAAATAGATTAAGGTATCATCAAGTGAACAAGTAAAACACAAACAAGTATAGAGGTAGCAAACACACGCACACACACACCACAAGCAAACACACAAACGAACAAACAAGCAAGCAAGCACGCACACAAGCAAACAAGCAAACACACAACCAACCAATCAATCAACCAAGCAAACAAGCAATCCAAAGAAAACACGAACCAACAAACCAACAACCAAATCACCAAACAACTAAACATACAAAAAAAAAACAAATAAAGAAAGACACAAACAAGCATCCAACAAACAACTACGCAAACAAAAACAAAGAAACTGGTCAACAGCTTTCTGCTTTCTTGTGGAGGGGTTGCTGCAAAAGGGGACCCTGGGTACGTTGGGAGACCCTTGAAAATGGCGGCTGCTAGAGGAAGCTTTCTCGAGACCATTACCGACCAGTGCCGTTTCTTGGGGTGGCCGGACTGGTTTGTTGGGTTATTTGTGTTATTTGTTTCTTAGCACACTACTGCCAGTAGACCAACATTACTAGTGAGTGACTTTGGGTTTGGGCCAGCTGAATGGCGAACGCCGCCGAACGGCCCAGCTGGCAAGAGCTGGGTCACAGGCAACCGAAAATGGTCCTACGGAATCTTAGGAAACCCTTTGTCCATCCCTTGAGCCATTCTGTTCCAAGCTGCCAACTTGAGCTGTTGTCCACTTGGAGGCGTGCGGTAGGCTTGAGATGAGATTCCCCAAAAGTGGTCACAGTCACCGGAGGAAGCACATTTCGGGAACCACGATGGTTGCACGGCACTTTCTGTTTGTTTTCTACTCAATTCAGGAAAGCTGCCCATACTCAAACGAAATCTGTTCCCCCCTCCCCGTCCCCCCTCCAAGTCTCTTTGTTCGAGGGTAGCTGTTTTGTTGCTTTCAGAGAGTTGGAGAGATGGAGTGAGCAAGGCCAGAGAGAGAGAGAGGAAAACAAAAAAACGGGCAGAGAGAGAGAGAGAGAGAATGAGAGAATGAGAGGTTACTCATTTATACGGGGTCCGAGAGGTTCTTCTTAAAGATCATCTATTTCGTTCCTTCCGAAAGTCGTGACGAAACCTCCGCACGCCATCGCGTTCAGGGCAATTGGGCCATGAGCCGAATCACCAAGGAGGAGTTCATCGCCTGGGTCCCCGGTGGCCGGATTCGTGGAGTTTTCGCTGGACGGCGTCCGACATGGACCAAACCGTTGAGCTTCTCCAACCCAAGCGGAAAACAGTGCAAAAAAACAAGGGAAAACCGAACAAAACAGCACCTGCCTCGGTTTAAACATGAAGAAACACAAAACAAAACAAGGAACAGCAAGAACGAATCCAACCTTAGTTGTCCAAACCTGGCTTTCGTTTTCTCCGGGGCCATCATGGAGGCTGAGAGATCTTATGAATCAATGTCAACACAGGCGACAGCCGTTGTTTTGATACTGAAAGGAAGCCGTCAATGTCATCGCTTCTAGCTGATTGCCAGAAGGGAACGTGACTGACATAGGCGCGGATTGCTGTATGACATCTGAACGTGAGAGGTGGCTACCGTGCTTATAGGAGATGCAAGGCTTCGGCATTGAATGAAGCTGCTTACTTGCGTTGTTGTTGGAGCTTAGTCAAGCTTTAGGGGTGTTGCGTTCCAACAAGACCCACAGATATGAAGCGAAACAGAGGAAACATAGTGCACAATTGCTCGGCGCGGAACTCCTTTGTGAGGGAAGGATTCAATTTGAAGCGTCACGAAGGCTGCTCAAGCCTTGTCAAATGGGCCTATGTTGGGCCATCAGATGCGGTTGGTATCCGAGGGCCATCCAAAGCAAGCAGGATAATGCTTATGGTGCTTGCCTTTTGGACTGCACGATGTCAATTTGGGTGACACGGAACTCTGGAAGGCTGGCACCCTTTTGCTTTCCCATGAAGGCGAGCTCCGTCCATCAACACAACCAAAACCCCTTCGCCTGGCAACTCACATACCAAAAGGAGCATGAATCAAGGGGACAACCCGGAAGTGCCTAGTGGTGAAACCTCCCAAACCAAGATCCAGCTCTGTCCAAACCAAAAACGGGGGAGAGACGCGGCAAGCCGAGCCGGGGGAAAAATTCTTGGGGCTTCGCACTTCGCACTCTGGGCTCCGAGAGCTCGCCGACCGCCGGACGCGAGACGCGCCAGCCGAGGCCTGCTTCACCGCCTCCCCGCTGCTCAGCGAGTCCTTGCGCCGCCTCGCCTCCGCGGAGCATGTGCTGCACATCGCCCGGCCAGTGCCCCTGGAGGCGAGCGAAGGATCCGGAGAGGAGGGAGCAGATGGCCCAGGAGTTGGCATTGGAGGGACCTTTTACAGCTTTTGGTCTTGGCATCGGTTTCGTTTCGATTTGGTTTCTGTGGCCAGGACCTTTGGCTTTGCTTTTCTAGCTAATAGGTGTGCCGTCGCACCAGCTTTGCCTACCAGCTCCAGTTGCTCCAGTTGGCCGAGCGAGAATACGCGTTTGGTCAAGAAGGCTTGCGCACTTGCAGCGTGTTGGCCAACTTGTTGTGGTTGCCTCCTGTTTCATTGTGCCGCTATGCTGTGTTGATATTTGTGCAGTTTTGTTTTCTCAGTGCTGCTTGTGCCACAATGACCACAATGATTCTCCATTTGGTGGGTGTTCCTTTGGTGTTGCTTGCTTTGTTTTTATTTCGTTCTGTTGTTGTGCTGGGTTTGCTTGCAATTGAGTCATGGTCTAATTCAATGGACGTCTGCACTGTTGATGTGCCAACTGAGGTGAGTAGAGAATGCAACGTTGCGGTCTTTAGCTCTGCACGGGCAAGTTTCAGATGGCGGTCACACTCTAATCTTGATTGAACATCGACCACGCCTGGGACAAGTCATTCGATCCGACCCCCTGCCCAGCCCCGGGAGTCGCCGGTCTTCGGAGCGCAGGTGACGATCATGGACCCCCAGCAGGACGACGTTTTCCATGACCTGGAGGACTCACTTCATGGGCCGTCGCCGCGAACAAAGGGTGCTTGCTTCGGAAACATGTGTCCATGATGTTTGCCATCGGAATCACATTTGTGTCCTTCATGCACTTGCTGTTTGCAGTTCATTGCTCCAAACTTCTGGTGGTGTGAGAGCGCCTCATGTTAGGACATGCTCAAATGATTGGGTCTTGTAGTGGGCGGTTTTGGTCCAATGGTCTAATTCAAGCACTCTTCAGGGACCTTTGCAAACGACTGGCGCCTTTTCGAGAGGTTGCATTTCAGCATCAGTTGGAAGTCACAATTGAAGTTGGACGTCGACATTGGCAAGGAGCCTCTTCACGTTCTTTTTTTAATGCGCTGCGAAAAGGAGTCAGGTCTATTTGTTTCCTTCGCAGTGGGAAGTAGCAGAAATCTGGGGCATCCCCAAGCTTCGAGGAGCAGATCAACCTCCAGCAGTCCCTGCTGATCGAGGCCGGGGGGGCGCCTGTCCCGCCAGAGTTGGGCAAAGCACGGCGACTCGCATGGTGAGTTTACTCATGTGATTTTCTCTTTTGTGACACAAGCTCGCAGGTGGAGCTATGAATGTGCGAAAAAGGTGCCCATTTTTTTTTGAAGGGATCCCATTTTTTTTGAAGGGGTTCGATGTCCTGGGAACTTGGGCAATGTTGACCCCAGAGGAAACCCACCCGGGACACTCTCATTGCTTTGGACAGTTCGACTGTTTTCCAAAAGCGGCGAAGCCCCACATGGGCTGCACCTGCTGGCCTTTCGGTCCGTTCTCCAGTCCTCCAGCCCTTCGCTTCGGGCTAACGAGGTCTGGGACTCCGACTTTATGGGCATGGACTTCCTGGGAGAGGCCGCTTCGGCACGCGGGCTCGCCGTTTTCCTGAGTTGGCCCCCTATTTTCTTGGTGGTTTTACAGGAAAATGAGAAGGACAACCGAGTTGCCACTCCTGGAATTTGGTGGTTTTACACGAACACAAAAAGTCAAACCGAAATGCAATTTGTGGGGGCTCCCCTAATCGAAGAGACGCCCGAATATGCTGAGGGGAACAACAGGAAGCTATCCAAGTATGGCTTTTTTTGCTGGTGCTTAGTAGGGAATGACCGAATCCGGGTGTTGGCGTTTGGGGATTCCCAAATAAAGGAACTCACCAGAGATTGGTCATCTCGGGGTCATTCCCTGCCTATTAGGCAGCAAGAAAATCCTACCACAAGCTCCTTTTGGAGCCTTTGGGGTCAGACCAGTGCACCTTCTGAACTAGTTGCTCTAAGAGATTTTGTAACCTTTGACTGGTGCATTTGGAATGGAACACCAGTACCGCCTCTAAAGAGAATCGTTCTGGCACGTGGATTCCTACTCAAAAGACCCCTAGTAAGGATCCTGAACTATTATAATGAGCATAGGCCATGACCATATCCATGACCATATCCATGACCATATCCATGACCATATCCATGACCATAGCAACAACTATGACCATGGCTCATGTGGATGTGGATTCCTGATGGTTGCTCGACCCCTCGACCCTTCGACCCCTCGACCCCTCGACCCCTCGACCCCTCGACCCCTCGACCCCTCGACCCCTCGACCCCTCGACTCGAGCCTCGAGACTCGGAGCGAGCGCGAGGCCTGGCTGCCTCCCCTCTCGGAGTTTGGCCCCAGGCCCAAGGCGCGTGGGTGAAGACACTGTCGCTATTCGAATGCTATGTACATATGCTACGTGTACAGTATGTATCTATATACACACAGATATGAATACAAATGTACATATGTATGTGTGTACATTTGCATTCATATCTATGTATACATATATATATATATATATGTATGATAGGCACTGATATGCCAGCTCCGGTTTCATGCATTGTTTGCATTCACATAGATGTTGTGCTTGGCTGATAGGTTTGCTCATTGTCCTCCTCTAAAGGCGGGCATGACTTTTTTGGGCTCCTGCGCTCAGAGCTTGACACGCGAGGATATCAACCAGCGCATCCATCTCAAATATGGGAGCCTCCTTTTTCCTTTAGGGTGCAAGCTAAAAGGAACACCCCCAGTTTAGTGGGTCTCCTTGGAGAAACGGAGCAATAAGGGAACGCATGGCTCAACATGTTTGGCCCTTTTCAAAGGGATTTCCCTTTTGCCCTAAGCCCAAGGAGAACTCCTTGTCCTGCTTGCTCAGAGGGGTCCTGCTGGTAAGCCAAGAGTTTTTCCCGTGTGCCAGCTGGACGGCTTAAGGGTTTGCCACAGTGATTGACATCCAGCTAACCAGAAAGGCCTCACTTTGAGATCCGAATCCCCAACTCTGTCAGTTCTCTCGCCAGTTTTGCCGCGCAAACATCCTGGATGGGCTTCTATGATACCTGAGACATGCCAGGGACCCCGCAATTCTCAAGCACATGGTGGCATGATGTGTTAGCATTCGTGTGTGCAGTGTGGTGCGGTTTGTCGAATGTCTTGTTCTCGCCCTGCCGTTGACGGAGATGTCAAGCATTTACACGGGAATTGCCTGTTTGGCAGTACAGGAAGGGAACGGCGGCCTTTGGGAGCCGATCTTTACCCCATCCTAGTACTAGAACCAAATTTCAATGAGTGAACCTATTCTTATAGAACATCATATGAGTCGCCATTTCGGAGGCGTTCCCACCACTTGACAAGGGAGCACCATTGGACATCACCCCGGCAGGACATTGTGCTGCCGCTGCAGCCGGCAGATTTCCGGCCTGAGTCGGACTTTGGGCGGGGGGCGCCCAGGTGTTGGCGTGAGTGGCAGTCGAAGGGTGGGAACGGATGGGTTTTGGAGGACAGGAAGATCTTGGGGCAGTCAAAAAGCAAACAGAATGCCCGAATATTCATGAGCCAAATGTATCCGGGGAAGGGATCAATATGGACTTTTTGAGCAGTCTTTTTTTGAAGGATAACCTTTGTTCTACCCGTGTTTTGGCTTTTGCAGGCAGCGTTGCTCACATTTGAGGTTTTACTGGCTCCTCTTTGCACGAGCTAGTAAGCTTCGTATCCTTTGCATTTTGACGACGAGTCAACAACACTGCTTCATTTCGCTGGCACACAGTCAAGCGATGTATGGCCGCTAGGCCCCCAGACCTGCTCATAGATGACACCACAGGTCGGAACTAACGTGCGACTCAGAAGGCTTCAGAGCTAGTGTTGGACTCTTGCTGAGCAATAGGGAGATCAGACCGGAGCGGGGCCCTGACCGCCACAGCGCTTGCTTGGAATCCTTCCCACGCTACAGCCCTTGTCGTCTGACACCAGCAGAGGAGGCGCATTCAGGAGGTTCAGACCCTGTTGCAGACGCATGTTGCACAGACATGTTGCATTACGCAGAGCCTTGCCTTTGTGGTGGATTCTGCTTGAGATGATTCTTGGCTTGCTGTCATTGTTGCAAATTCCATACTTCGTGACTTTTGAGCATGCAATGCCGGGGCTTCACAGCGGTGGCGGCCTGCGTCGGCTGCCAGGGCCTCGCGATACGACGCGAAGAAGAACATCAAGGACGCGGACAAGGATCCAAATGCGAAGGCAGTGTGGGCGGGGAGGGGGGCGGGGGTGGGGTAGGGTGGGATGGGGGTGGGGTAGGGTGACCTCGGGATCTCTTTTTCAAGCCGAAGTTGTGGCTCGGAAATGGTCGTTGCCAGCAGTGCAAGATGGGCATCAAGCTGAAGATATGAGAGGTGGCGGCGGCCAGAATTCCTGCAATCGATCTCAAGGAAGACACCTTGATTGAATCCTTCAATCCCTGCCATGTAGACAGGCTCGCACGCACAAAGTGCATGACGCGTGCACGCACACAAAGGCGCAGACACGTGGAAAGGAATACAGAGCCACAGAGACACAGAGACGCCGACACCCAACAAACAAACACACGGGTGAGTAGGTCAGAAGAGAGATGATGTGTCAAATAGCCAGTGGTTCGAGTTGTATGTTTCACCACTCAATCATCAGAACTTTGCTGCATCACAGCACCGATTTTTGTTGGTGGCCTCTTGTCGCGGTAAATAAATCCACTGGGTAAGAGTACCAAGGGCGCCTGTTTCTCAGATGAACTTTGCCCAGCCGTCACGCCTAGATAATACGACCGCAGAAAAATGGGTATGGATACTCATAGTTGGACCAATTGCGCCTTTGGCCCTGACCAGTATCAATGCCCCCCGTATTACAGGATGTTGGTTGCGCAGGGGTGTTGGGCAAGTTTAGATGCTGGTCCCGTTGAATCCCATAATTGTTGCAACTTTAACCACCGCACATTTGTGTGTTGAACATGCTTACGTCATGTTTAGGGGGATGCGTGAGGAGCATCCAGCTGCTTGAGGTGATATTTCCTATCGTGCGTACCCTTTCTTGGACGATAGCGACATTGGCATGCTTCAATCTTTGGACGCATCAGCTACTGTAGAGTGTCAGTTCACACGTTCACGGCACGCTGAGTGTGTCGGCCTTACAGGTGGATGGCGAGATCTTCCTCTCGGTAACCTGGGTCTACCCTACCATTGAGGGCCGAGGCGGGTTTTGGCTTTTGATGGGACAGCGAGCGGTGGGCTGTTGCTAAATGTTTGGCCCACGGTTTCACCTGAGAACGAGGCAGCTCGCACCAACGATTCGACCCTGTGTCGGTGCCGGAAAGTCTATTTGAGAGATTCGATGGTCCTCGTGGAACAAGATGGCTCACACACGCACCAACATGAAACTGGTATTGAGGCAAGGGCTATGAACGTAGCAACGTGGAAAAACCTTTGCTGCAGTATTTACCTCTATGATATTATGGTGGTTCATGCCCTTGTGATCAGTCTTCGCAGATGCATTGTTTAATTGTTGCCCTTGAACCTGTGCCAGTTAAATCAACAGGATGCCTGATGCATGTGTAACCTACCGAGCGACTGCCGGGCGATGGTTCTCGTTGCCTGAGGGCACCTGCAGCCCTGCATTAGTTCTTTTGGATATGTGTGAAACTCATTGGAGCACTCCTTCCACTGTTGGATGTTCAATACGAGATCCATGTTGGAGGGACCGCGAGCCTTTTGCTTGTTGTTTTTTGCCATCTCAAGTCACGTTCAGACTGCTGCAAACTAGGCCAACAAGGACAATTATACCAATCATACATGTTCATATTCATATAAGCAAGGTTTGAGTGACTTGATGCACGCAACACTTTTCCGCGATGCGACGGGGGTTCTTGTGTAGCACGTATGCAAACAAACGGCTGAGGCAACTGATGCGAACCTTCCACGTGCAAGGCAGCGCTCAACCATTGGCTCATGACCTCGTTTAAAGCATTGTTGAAACATATGGACAAAGATCCCACTGGGCACCCATGGATACGCAAACTGCTTTGGGCCAATCAGCTGGTGTCTCAGCGGCAAGGCTTGGACCTGGACGTCGACAAGTGGCTCAAGCATTTGGAGACCAAAAATAAGCGACTCGGCCGGATGTCAGTGGCCACATGCCGATTTGGCACCCGAAGGACCGTTTTGCCAGACAGGAAGTCTCAGTTCGTAGGATTTGGGGCTCAGCCGGGTGTTTTGATCGTGATTTGCGGCAGGAGACCTAAGGATTGCTGGTTGAGGACCTTTGGGATTTCAGTTTGGAAGATTGCCTTGCGCCAATTCACGGGCCTTTTGGGCCTGATTGAAACCAAGCTTCCGTTTGACACGGCCCATTTCAGCAGAGGTATTTGACCTTTAGCAGCTACTCATGCGCCTTTTTCAGAATCCTGGAAGATGCCCATAAAGAATGCAAAAGGATTGGGTAAGGGACCTATGACAGGACATACTTGGAGGTGCCTTCTATGTAGGCAAGGATGAGTTGCATTTGCCAAGCGACTGCCCACCGCTCACGTATTAGGGTTTTTTTTGCAGATGGTGGCATTCCTGGCGCGCCTCCAAAGCACTTTGCGACCCATGTGCTGAAGGTCGTGTTCTTTTGGGTAAAACTTGACTCAACTCACAAGCAGGCATGCACATGCAGCACGCATACGCAGGCATGCACACGCACGTGCACATACACATGCTGCTCACGCAGGCACGCATGAAGGAGCATGCATGCCTGCAGGCAAGCAAGCAAGCAAGCAGGCGTTCACGATCAGATGTGCCTCAGGTTCTAGGACTTAGGAGCGGCAATTTTGCCACCAACTACTAGACACCGGAGCAGCTGTCTCATGGACCCCACCCCGTGCTCCAGCAAAGCAGACACTATCAAGGGCTGACTGCAAGTACAGAGAGGATTGTTTTGAGTCTAGACGTAGCAGGTGAAGAAGGGTTCATGCATCCATGCATATCACGCAACGTGCGATCCAGGGATGACACCTAGTGGCACTCAGCCGATTGATGTTCAAGCGCATGCGCTTGCTCCGCCCTTTTGACATGTCGGAAGTCCTCGGAAAACTTTAGATATGTGGTTAACAGCCCTGACCCGTGAGAGCGAGCACACCATGTTTTGTGGACTCACATGTTTGGTCTCATGTGACAGGCGGCAGCTCATAGAACGCAAAGTTGCCGGCGGTTGCCAGAGTCACAAGAGGCGAATCTGAGCCTCGAAAAGGACTCCTTTGAGTGTCCAGGTCCGAGGGTTCTGATTTGATGCCGCCTTGCCAAGGTTCCCAGAAGGCCAGTTGACGAAGTTCCAGGACCGCCGTCCCTCAAGCAACTTCCGCTTGCTTCGAGCCTTTGAGTTTCCCATGAACCCAAAACCGAAATGGTCATCCCGCAGAAAGAGCTGTGACGAGTGATTGTGGTGCCCAAGAGATTGCTGCGGGCCAGCGAGCGGCGAGCATGTTCAGTCAAGCGTCCACAGCTGGCAATGCTGGTAACGCTGGACACTGGCAGGTGGACATGTTGCAAGGTTCAACAAAGTGAGGTCTTCTGGCTCGCCTTCAAGCAAGGACAAGCGGCTGCTTTCTTTGGATCAAACATGTTTTGTTTGGGTTTCCTCATCTTGTCAGGCAAGCGTAACCGAGCATGAATCAGTCAACACTTGAACTTAGTTGGCGGGAATCATTTCGCCCCATCGTGAAGACCCTCGTGGGGAAGGTTGGGGGGGGGGGGGGGCGGGGCTGGTTGGCCCTTTGCCCTACAAATTGCAAGCCACTTCGGATGAGTTTGCGGGGCTGTGGCAGGACGACATTGTGGCAAAGTACCGCACCCTGCGGGGTGTTCGCGAGCGCGAGGCTGCTGATTTTGCGATTTCCCGGAAGCAGGGTGAAAGTCGTGTTGCAGCGCTTCGCTGCGCTCTTGGCTGGTTTGTGTTGAAGGGATTGCAGATGGAATCTGCGTGAACCGGCTCTTGAGTCTTCACAAATGGACACCATTTTTGTTTGGGTTGCGTTTTGCTGACATATGACCTGCTTGAGGCTGTCAATTGCGGTGGACATCCAAGCCAATTGATGACATGCTTAAGTTTCCAGGACATGTTTATCATCAATGGAATCGGGCAGGGGCAAACATCAATTGCACGTCCAGAAAAAAGCTGCCGGTCAGGCCGTTTGTATTCTGCTTCACAGTAAGACCAAGTGTTCAAGCTTAGGTGAAGCCTTTTTATGAAATTGGACAACATGTGACATCGAATATCCTTGGTCAAGTTTTAGTCGCTGTTGATTTGTCAGCAGGTAAAGTCTCGAAATTCGCAGGTTTTGCATATTGCACCATTGCGCTTTCATTCAAGGCACCAGCACCATCGATGCCAAGCAAGATCGCGCCACTATCAAAGCATACAAGCGGTCGAGTCGTAGGATCGTTAAGCGCGGACGCATTAATGCAGGATGTGGTTTCCGCACGTAGCCAATCAACTCCTACAAAGTTCTTCGAATGTGCTGCCGCTCATTTTCAAGCAAGATCCCAAGGGGATTTGGGGCTGGTTTGGACCACTTTCAGACTGCTTTGCGTGTTTGCACTGATGAACTGGGTTAGGCAACAGTAAATGATTGGGAAGGATGGGGAACGTATTGAAACACCAGAAAGTCCTTGCTTCCCACTTGAAACGATTCTGTGTTTTGGCTCGGCATTCCGCCGGGAATTGCATTTCATCGATGGCTCATGGTCAAGCACACACCGCATGCAACATTGAGCTGCGGGGATGAGGTGCACCCTTCCCGCACCACCCGTCACAGGTGATTCTTGAAGCTTCCGTACCAGGATTTTACTCGTGGATCACTCTGCAGACATTTGCTCGGCTGGTGTATCTTCGCTTTCCTGTTTGACAACACTGCCGTGGTCTTGTCTTCACAACTGCCTGGCGGCACTCCCTTTGGTGTTGAATGGCAGAGATAGATAGAGAGGGAAAGAGACAGAGAGAGAGAGAGAGAGAGAGAGCGAGCGAGAGAGAAAGAGAGAGAAAGAGAGAGAGACGGAGACAGACAGACAGAGAGAGAGAGAGAGAGAGAGCGAGAGAGACAGCGGGAGCACGGATGTCGGACACTGCACACTTGAGCTTGCTCTCCAACCCTACGGCATGTCTGCAATGTCGCACTGTGAATGACCTTATCACATCTTGGCTCGTGTCATCTATTGACCCAATCTGGCGTTTGTTTTTTGGAGGGGGCGGAGGGGTTGAACTCTATGTCGAGACTTTAAAGAGGCGCACCGGGAAACTGAAGGTACGAACCGGGACCATCTTCTTCATCCCAATTTGGGGACCGCTAGGGCCGGCCTCGCCCCCAATTTGATCTTTTTTGGAGTCGAAGCTGCCCAAGGAAGCCAAGGTTTCTCACGTTTCCCCCTTTTGCTGGTGTTGAAGATCACCTTTTGTGGCAATTCAAAGTTCAAAGACCTGTTGGAGTGACGTTTAAAGTTTAAAGAGAATGGCAAAAATACAAGTGTCGGTTCTGGTCAGCTTGGTTGAATGCAGATTGCACTGGCTGCTTGCTTCTAATCATAATCATTTACCAGCGCCATCTATTTTCCAAAAGGACGCCTACATGTCAAAAGTGGGGTCTTTTTGACCCAAAATGGGTGGTTTCCCATTTGGTTTCCATGTGGTTTCCCTTTGGTTTACAATAAGAAAACAGTTTTCCCATTAAAAAAAAGACCCCCCCAAAAAAAAAGGTTTCCCCCAAGACCAACCCTCAAGCAACTGAAGCAAGCCGCAGGTCAGCACCGCGGGCGCCATGCGCGAGGAGTTCTTCAACGAGCCGCTTGGTTGAGGGCGGAATGCGGATGGAGCGGGGGGTTGGTCTCAGTGAGAAGACTGGACAGCCGTTGAAGTTGGCGAACCATTTTGTTTTGCTTTTCCTCTCCAAAACGTCCAAATTTTCCAACTTGGTTGTCTCCAAATTTGGCCGTGGCTCAGAAAATTTGGCTGTGGCCCTTTAATTTGAGCCACACCTATTTGTTGGCTAACCTTCTTTGCTCTTGTCTCCTAAATTTCCAAGTTTCCAAATGTTTCAAGTTGTTTGTCTCCAAACTGCAAGAAGGAGATCGAAACGGAACCCCCAAAACTTGTTGAATGGCTTGGAAGGGCTACCAAAGGGATAGCAACCCTTGAGACACATCCAAATGTGTCATTTGTGGCTCTTCAGATGGCCCATTGTCGAAACATTTTGGCTGCCTGGCAGCTGGTGTGAGCCTTTGACCGGAGTATGTTTGTTGCGTCGTGTTGGCATGGTCGAAATGCCTGGTTGCTTAAGCCATGATGTGTTGCTCTTGAGGATCCCTGGCTCGAGAGAAACAAAGAGAGAGAGAGAGAGAGATGGACCAAGAGTCAGCAGATGGGGCATCACGCTCACAAAAATGCTTGCTCGTTGGCTAGTTGAGCCCAAGCTGAACCACCCCGGTCGATTGCCCCCTGTTTTGTTCCTTTGGGCGGCTTTCCCGGGCAGAAAGCATGAGCCATGGCTACGCCGGTTTGCCGATTGGGGGCGCCGCATGGGTTTGGAAAGAGGAACCTGTATCACCACGCTTACTGTTTCCTATCAAGGCCTGGACCACAACTGATGTTCGAGTGTCGTGAGGCAGAACAATCTTGGGATCTTGTTTTCTGAACCCGCCCAGTAAATTGATCCCCCTGGTCGATTGGGGCTCCATCTTGGGAGGTTTTTGCTTTGGTCCCTGAGCAAAACCAACGCTTTTCGGGTTACTTGGCGTCTTTTCGGTTCATCGATCTCAGACCTTTCTGTCTTCCCTGGTTCTCGGTCCCGGTGTCTTGTGTTGTGAGAATCGCGCGTGATCCTATCCTCGTTCTCAGGTGCCTTGACTAAGCGGGCTTGGCGCGTTTTGAGCATTGGTGTCCCCGCGTTTTTATCCCTTTGGTCAGAGAGACGATACCTTACTGGAGGGGTGGTTTGTCGAAGTATTTTCAAGTTGAGTGGCACGCAACTCGAGGAGGCGGTGCATAGTTACCCCCAGGTGGGTTGGTTGGACGGTTGGAGAAGAATTCTAGCATAGTTTTGCCTCGAGGGAGAGAGCCCTCAATTGCTGTGAGAGGGTCTCCGGCTAGCTCGTTTGCGTCGCGGCCGCCTTGAAAGGCTGAAGATCACTGATAAGAAGGCCAAGGATGTGATCAAGAAGTGGTTCAAGGCCCGGACGTCCCGTGAAATACGCCTTGAAAGCAATGGGAAGGGGCAGGCTGGGAGTGGGTTCCAGATGGTAGGGAAATGCTGCTGTCTCTTACGCAAGCAGGTATCTCCTTTGTACATGTCCAAATGTTCCCAGCATCAAAACCAAGAGCTTAAGAGCTTGTGCTTTGTTACCTGGGAAAGCAACAATGGGCTTCTCGAGGAGTCATAGAGACCGATGAATCTTCAGAACCCTGCATGCGTGTTCCAAAAATGGAGGACCCTGCAAATGGCTGGTTTGCTTTGGGCTTCCCTTTTGAAAAGCGTCTCAAGGGAGGCACTGTTTAGGGAACTGGCACCCGACGGAAAGACAGCTCAGGATCGTTGTAACGACACCTGCGGTTAAAGTAGCCACTTCCATGGCAAAGACTCCTAATCGAAATTCCTCGTTATGCCGATCCTGTGCTTTCTTGAAGCTTACCTGGAAGATCCAGGCTTAGCGTGTCATACATGTCCTCGACTTTCAGGGCAGGGGAAAACAAATACAAAATTGTTCAGAGGCGCCTGGTCCCCCCTGTTGTGTCAACGCGTGGCCAACAAACGCTAGCGGTGCCTTTCTTTCCACGCCCTCTAGGGAAAACACACATATGTTGATGAGCTGCGATGTAAAGCATCATTCTCCTCCAAACATCTTACGCTTGAACGTGTGGTAATACGTGAGCCAAATCGGGCATGACTGGAGAGACGAGCGAACCGCATATCGCAAACATGGGCATTATGTCCTGTTGCAAGTCTCGGTTAGTCAAAGTCGATCTTTCACCATTTGATGTCCAGGCTTGAATCCAATTTGAGTCATGGCCACCGGCATTTAAACATTATTTGGTCTTTCGGGGTGCCTTTCCGTGCAAGGCTATCCAAAACAAGAGCTTCACGTTGGACCTTCTTTGGCCTCTTTGGATGCTCATAATTGTTTCGGGCGGCCAGCTGAGCCGCGCTCAGATCTCTTCAAACCTTTGAACCTGAGCCGCACTTGGCACCTTGATCTACTTCAGGGGCCACTGGATGTGGATTGTCGAGAGAGGAGTGAGCTCCCCCTTCCAATTCACCGAACTGGATGCCAAAGGACACCGAATTCGGAGAGGCCCGCCATTGCGCTCGCGGTTGGATTTTTTTGGCCAGGATGTCATGTCGGAGGACCTGAAGTCCCGGGCTCTGCACCAGGAGCCATGGTGCCCGTTGCTTTTGAGCGATGCGCTGCTTCTCGGAAGCGGCACGTTTGGAGACCCGGCTCTTTGGGCCACCTTCAAAGGCTTTGGCTCAGCGAACCTCCCCTTTTCCCTTTGGCAGGGTTGAACGCAACTGTTCTCCAGTTCACCTTCCGGCAAATTCCGGCGACGGGTGGGGCCATTTTTGGGGTCCGACTCTGGTTCCTGACAGTCAGATGTGTGGCTTGGCAGTGCATTCGGCTCCGCTTAAGTGACCAAAGGATCAGCCCAAGTGGGCCGAACGATTTTGCGCCAGACCAAAAGTTGCAGCCTTTTGTTTTCTGAAGTAGAGAGCCCCCACACTTAGTGCGCCTTTGAATTCCCTCCAAACACGAGCAAACACAGGCAGCCTGACCAAGTTGGGAAAACATTTGTGCGATCGAGTTGTTTGTATGAACTGGGAAAAGACTGCTCCGCGCCCGCTATTCTCTCAGAATTCGATTTGCACCATGTTACTTTCTTGCTCGCCTGCCTTGTTAGACTTCTGCCATCGGCGTGGCTATCCAAAAGAGCAAGGACTGTTGCCAGAAAGGCAAAATGGCAGGCATTCTTGTCTGAGTCATACACCGGTGGTCATAGTTTTGCTTCTAGCTAGCTTGGTAGCTCCCTGCCGCGCAGATCTTGCTGCCATTGATCGCAGGAGCAGAAGCATTCTGGCATGCTCACCATCAAGATCGAGCGGGCGGGGCTGGCTGTAGAAATTCGCCAGAAACTAGCAGATCCTCTGAGAGTCATGTTGTTCATTTGATGGGTCTCGAAACGCTTTTGAAGATAGAGAGATATCATGGCCTTATCTTGGCAAACTGACACTGCCCAGGGAGAAACCGGTGATTGGAAAACCTTCCCTCTAGTGGGTGTTTTTGGGTGGTTTGAGGCCAGCGACAAGCCATACGGTCCAAAGCAGCCAACGGGTTGGTTCCTAGACAATGACAGGCACTTTGCATTCCAAGAGGGGTGAGGGGTGTCCAATGAAGTCTGTCGTGTCATCAACCAAGCTCCTTTCCCAACCCGTATTTGAGGTTGGTCAAGTATGATTGCCCAGGTAGTTGGATCTTTGCACAGTTTCACTTGCCCTCTACAATAAAGGTGTGTCTTTTCTCGAGGGTAGCGTTTTCGTAGTTTTAAAAGGAACTCCAAAAGAAAACTAGCCATGTTGGAGGTTCCCTCATTTGGAGACAACCACAGTTATGTTGATTAGCACTCAAACCCCTCTTTTAAATGCGAGCTGCACATGGGCGTGGCTCAAAATTACAGAGCTAGGCTTACACAGGGTTTAGTCTTTGGCTCCATTTTGGTGCCATAGGTACGACTTTGAGCCACAGCCACATAGATCCTGACATAAGAAAAAAAAAGCACCAGGCGGAGCGCCTGCGCCGCGCGGACGCCAAGAAGATGCGGGACTGCGATCCCAAGGTCTACATCTGGGCGGCGCCCGGCTCGCTTGGGAAATGGCCGGCTGGGTCCACATGAAAAGACGACGCAACGAGGAAGCTTACACGTCCGAAGAGACCTGAAAAAGGCCTGAAAGAGACCTGAGCCAGAATTGTGATTAGTTGTAGTCCAAAATATGTACCTGAACAACAGCATAGTCGCTGTGTTGACAGGCTACCCATGCGTCACAAGCCTTTTGCCTCCGAATCTCAACCTACTTGGAAGGACAACCTTTTTTTGCCGTGCGCATTTTGCCATTGAGGTTTCCGGAATAGATGACGCTTGGGATTGGGCAACGGGTTGAAGTGTGCGTTCTTGCACTCTTCGAACACTCTGCGAGAAAGGAGCATTCCAATTTCTTAGATTATCTGATTCTTGATCAGGGCATCTTAGCCTTGCCCAAGAGGAAACCAGCCTCCCAACACCATGGAAGCTGACACACAGTTCCTACAGATTGCAGGGGGCTTCCGTCTGGGTTGCGTAAGAAGCTCTTACCAAGGGCACCAGCAGAATGTGAGAGGAGTCAGCCATGAAGTCTCGGACAGACCGCTCATTTGCATGAGAATGACCAAGCTGCTGCCATGGGTAACCAAGGGCACAGGAAATTCCAAAGGTTGCCATGTTCAGTAAGGGCTGTAGGTACAGTTGCGCTGATGTTCCATGCCCTGTTTTCAAGATGATGTTTGAAGGAACCACCATGTAGCATGCCAAGCACCGCTCTTGGCAGGCGAGGAACGATCATGTGTCAGCGTGGCAGAAGGCACGGCTGGAGTGACTGTGCCTGGATTTTTTTGCCCTGTTCCCCTGCGCCGGCTCTGTTTCAGTGGCCCCCTTCTCTCAAGTTCCTTTGGCTTTTTTGGGACGTACTTTTCCTTTGCCTGCTTCAGACTCAAGCAGCAAGGACCTTGGAAGGGCGTCCTGGTTTGCATGGCGACCGGTCGTCGTCTTTGATGCTTTGAACCATAGGCCTTCTCCAAGACGAAGAAAATGGGCTGTTCTTCTAGGGGGCGATTCCCCATTCTTTTCAGCCATGGTTCTTTTCAACAGCCAGCCATTTCCCCAGGGTTTTTGGTGGTTTTCTAGAAAGAAGGATCCCTGGAATGAACGGGGAAGTTACCCCTAGAGTTCTGGGAAGCGGCACCAAGTGCCTGCCAGCGTCGCCCGCAAACTTTTTCTCAACCGGGTGCTCTGCGCGCCAGAAGCCGCTGATGCAGTCGGGGAGGATTTCCAACGACCGGAATCCAGTGCCCGCGTGCCCAGTTGAGGTTCCCAGAGGCCGGAACTTCAGCAGCTATGGATCTGGGCTCGTCTTTCTTTACGATTAAAGGGATTTGGAATTCAAC